AGGCCCATGTTGCAACCTCTACTGAAAGATTGGTTAACCCTAGCCCTTTCACTAGGAGCAACTGGAGGTGTTGAAGAAACTTCTTCCAAGCACAATTATATAGCATGCCAACTTGATAAAACACCAAGGTATCTTGTCCTATTTTGCTTACAATGAAAAATTTTGATATTGGATAATAGATTTAGTTGCTTCTGATCACATTATTGGGGAATTCTTTCTCTCACTAACTACCAAGTGTCCAGAAACTCCAAATTTGTTAGATTTGTCAAATGATCTCACTTTAGGATTGTTGGGAAAGGAGAAGTGAAAGTCTCCAAAAATATCCAGCTCTCTTTTGTGCTATATGTTGTTTCCCAATTATATTGCCACTTACTGTTAATTAGCAAGCTAACTCATTACTTGAATTATGTTACTAAATTCTATTCTAACACTTGTAAATTTTAAATAGTGGATTCGAGGAAGACGATCGATAATGTTGAATTGCATCAAGACTTATATCCGCTCAAGAAAAGCTATTCTCTTAATACACAAACGTCTTCTTGACCATCTTATTCCCATATTCCTGTGATTTTTATGTTTGATTCTATTGAAAATCAAGCTCTATTATGACATCATCATCTAAGTCTTCTCAATTTTCATGATATTGAAAAATTTGTATCATTATCTTTTTATTAATTAAAAAAATGAAAGTTTTATCAGGTGAATCTTGTTAATTGGCTAAACATACTAGTTATGTTTATCCTGTCTCAACACTAATTCTCACATCCTTTCTCTATTATCCACAATGACATTTGAGGACCATCAAAATTAAAATCCGTCAATGAAGTCGTATGATTTTTCTTCTTTATTGATGACCACAATAGAACCCATTAAATATTTCTCATGAAAGAAAAATTTGAAACTGCTCAAATTTTTCAATCCTTTCATAACATGATTTTCACTCAGTTCCAATATAAAATTCAAATTATCAAAATTGATAATGCAAAATAATACTTCATCTCTATTATTAGATCCTACCTTGTAAAAAACATGTTAAGACTGGTCCGGGCTTGGAATAAACGGTCAGACACTGAATTAAATTCTATAGCATGTTAAGACTGGTCCGGGCTTGGAATAAACGGTCGGACACTGAATTAAATTCTATTCTATTTCTATCACTAACAGTTTAATATTCAAATATTCATGAAAGAACCATCAAAGAAAATATTTTAATTAACAAGTAAAAGTTTTACGTTTCCGGTTGTTATTATCGCCTTCTGTACATATTAGCTCATTTTTTATTCATCTTATTTAAAAGCTTAAAAACTGAAAAAATATTCAAACTACATAATGAGTTATCTAAAGATAACTTGAGAGCAATCATATTTCTAAACTACAATAACCCAATGAGAAAAAATAATATACATGCTGGTATTTCATATTTCCATAAAAATATTATAATAATCTAATGTATGTATCAATGACATTTGCTTAATAGAAAATAACTTAAGTTTATATGCATTAATTTTAACTTTACTTTCCAAAGTTTAGTCTTTGAATTTATTTTTTATTATACTCTTAACATTCACATATGTTATATGAGCATCATCAAAACATAACTTAACACACTCTTGGTCAATATTATTCGTTGGTACAGCGAGTTGTGATCTACTTTACATGATTTTTTAAGGTGGAAAAGTCATCTACTCACCACCCTTAGTCAATATTCTTTTATCGATATAGCAGTTAACAATCTAAACTTCACAATTATTTGGGATGGTATGATAACATCTACGCACGCAGGTAATCTAATGTCTCCTGCCCGTACTATAAGGGGATGGGCTCCTCTAAGCATGCATATACAAGCATCCATATATAAGCTATTTTATCTTTTATAACACCTTCCCTTATGATATATTTTGTATTTATTTATTATTGAATAATTGCACTCTTATCAAAATTATAAGTCATAAAATAAATTGATTTATGCACCTATATATAGTAAGGTGACATCTTAGAAAAACTATAATGCGGTGACATCTTTGAAAAATTATATTGCAACTATTTATACAACAATTTTGACATGCGTATTTTATGACTATCAATATAAAGAATCTGATATAGTTTAATTACATTGACATAAGACATACTAATGAAAAACTATAAGTAATGATATATTTAAAAATAAAAAATATTACTGCAACTTAAAAGCACGATTACTCACCTCGATTATCAAGTTAGATTTTCAATCTTCAGTAATCTGTTTGGCGTCACAATAATCTTTATATTGATATTAATAATCAACAGAACATAATATCATACTTTTAATATTCAGGCAATTTTTCGTTAACCACCAAAGTATTCTTTAACTATCACTATTATTATTATTACATCAACAGAACATAATATCATACTTTTAATATTCAGACAATTTTTCGTTAACCACCAAAGTATTCCTTAACTATCACTATTATTATTATTATTATTATTTTTATTATTATTATTATTATTATTATTATCACTATCAATCAGTTATTACATAGTGGTATCATCCATGTGGGTTCTTTTGTTGAAACTCCACAATAACGTGGGATAGCGAGAGAGAATAAACATCTCCTCGACGTATCTAGGTTTATAAGGCTTTCTATCTTAGAAAAAAACTTTTTGGTAAAATTTTTTTAGGAGATGCCATGCTCACTACCACCTAACTTATTAATAAAATGTCAAGTGGCGTCCTTGGATTCAAAACCCCTCTTGATATTGTGGTGGAAAAATATTTTTCACGTGAAAGCCTTCTCATCCAATCTTTCTTTAAAAATATTTGACAATCTTTTTTGCTCACATTCACCAATCAAACCGCACAAAACTTGGCTCAAAATACATGATCAAATGTGTCTTTCTTTTAAAAGCTTCTAGCGAAAAGGGATACAAGTGCTATTCTCTCGTTACAAAAAAATTTTATAACTCCATGGATGTTACTTTCATTGAAAACCACCCTACTATCCTAAATATGATATTCAAGTGGAGATTACGAGTTCAAATATTAAACTTGGAACACTACTCTAGATGCTCGTACTGATTTAGAGCATCACAATCTATTCTCATTCTTTCTAACAGTTTCATCTTCTAAGTTCCACCAGTTGAGAACATCCAGTTTGAGACTAATAACAATGAACTTTGTGTGTATACGAGGTGAAAAAAATCTGCCAAGCATGATAAGAAAATATGCAACCGCAAGATCATTCACTATCAAACATAAAATTACACATCTTTGAAGTTTCAAGGGAGGTGGAATCCAATGAAGAAGACAGAGAAAGTTGCAAAAATTATTTTATCCAAGATTATATTACCTATGGGAACTTATTATCAATTTATATAGTTTTTTTATCTAATCTTGATAATGTGCAGATACCTAAGTCTATTCAGGTAGCACTTCAAAGTCTAGAATAAAAAAGGCAGTTAAAGAGGAGATCCAAGCACTTGATGACCAAGTTAAACACTATAAGAGTTCTTTCTTTGGCAGTGAATAAAGAACAAAAACAAAATCAACTTTATATCAAGAATGTGTTTTTGAATAGAGACATTGGGGAAGAAGTGTTTATGAAAATCCCATCATGATTGAAAATTAACTCAAATAAATATCAGGTTTGTAAACTGAGAATTTCACTTTATGGTCTCAAATAATCTCCAAGGGCTTCGTTTGATTAGTTTGCCAAGATTATGAAATCTAATGGATACATATAATACCAAGCGAATCATGCACTATTCATAAATCATACACAGGGGGGTAAGAATACTATACTTATTGTCTATGTAGATGGAATGATTTTGACGGGTGATAATGAAAAATAAATTGAGAGGATCAAGGAGGTTTTTGTCACTGAATTTGAAAGTAATGATTTCAGAGCGATGAGATAAATTCTATGCATGGAAGTGACCAGGTCCAAGATGGGTATTGTGACATCCCAAAGAAAATACATCTTAGATCTACTAAAAGAGTAAAAAATGGTAGGATGCAAATATTTCAAGATTTCTATTAATTTCAATAAAAAGTTACATTCAATGTGAGAAAAGACGCCAATGAAAAAATGTAGATATTAGAGATTGGTAGGTAAACTTATCTACGAATCACACACTAGACTTGATATCGCTTACTTTGTTGGTATTGTGAATTAACATATGAATAGTCATGAAGAATATTTAGAGATGATTTACAGAATCTTGAGTTTTCTTAAGAAAACCCCTTACAGAGGGTTACTGTGTAAGAAATCAGACAATAAGGAAGTAGAGATTTACACTGATGCTAGCTGAGCAGGAGAACTCATGAACAAAAGGTTCACTTTTGATACTGTTCTTATCTTTGGGGAAATCTTGTCACTTGTAGGAGAAAGAAGCAAACAATGGTCTCATGAAGTAGTGCAAAATATGAGTATCGTGCATTTTCTTTGCGAATTTTTGAAGGAATGTAGATCCAAAAGTTACTAAGTGAGTTGGAATACTCCACGGTCAATTTTATAAAAAATGTTTTGTGATAGCCAAGCTTTTATTAGTATTGCACAAAATCCAGTGTTTCATGACAAGACCAATCACATTGAGATTGATAGACATTTTATCTCTGAAAAGGTCAATGTAGGCACTATTTACTTGATTTACATTCCGACTTATCTTCAAGTATGATTTTTTCACTAATCTCTACGTCCGGGCAACTTCACTGTTTTGAATACCAAGCTGGGTCTTTACAACATCTATGACCCAGTTTGAAGGGAATTGTGGAATTATGAGTTTCCTATTTTTAGCGTTATTCTTTTTTTTTCTTTTTTAGTTATTAAATATTTATTTTCTTTTTAAGTTAGTTTATATTTGGAAAGTTGTAATGATTGTAATTGTTCAGGTTGTTTATTATTATATAAGGAGAAGAGTTGTAATTTGATGATTAAGAAATAAGAGAATATGATTTTCTCCTACTTTTAAATTTGGAAGTTCATTTGATAATTTAATTTTTATTTTTATTTTATTCTCAGAAATGAAATTTTGGAGGAAATTCTCCACCTTGCAAAAAGCGTCCTCTCATGGAGTCAGAGTTTCTAGAAGAACATTTATGGTAGTTCAATGTTCTCTGGAGAGTAATGTAAATGATGCAACTGGATCAGAATTACCACCCTTGGAAGGATCAGAGAAGCCTGTATCAGTAGAAAGCCTTCCCTTGGAATCAAAGCAACAAATGCTGCTTGAGCAGAAATTGAGGATGAAGTTAGCAAAGAAGATCAGACTGCGAAGGAAACGTCTCGTTCGAAAGCGAAGAATGAGGAAGAAGGGCAGATGGCCTCCTTCAAAGATGAAGAAGAATAAAAATGTGTAGCTGGTTCTTTGGTTAACTCTGCAGGTTTGGTTCCAAGTCACTTCGTTTTTTTGCATTTGCTCTAATGGTTATGCTTCTTGATGTAGAAATGCTATATTATTGCGCACAATTTTAAGAAATTTATTCCACTTACAGTTCCCAAATTCCATGCTGGCAATTTTATCTAATTTAAGAATCAATTGCACCCCAAACTATAATTTTTCTGTTTATGTGGGATGATTGATCTGCTTAATATAGCCTTTTGTGTAATAGATTTTGCTGCAATAAAACAGGTAAAAAGGTTAATTACATGAGCTGGAAGTGTAAAAGCGATATTTAGATTATCTATGCTCTTAGCGATACTTTAAAACATGAAATGCAAGGGGATGCGTTCTGCTGCAATAGTCATTTCTGAAGAAGTTTGATGCGCAACCTCCATCCAAGATTGGCTGCTAGTAGGGCTGACAATCATATTCAAAACTTGAAACTTAGCTAGGGTTTTAATCAACCTTTAAATTAAAACTTATTTGCTATCAGCAGTAGATGGCTTGGTTGAAATTTGTTCTTTTCAACTCAGAAATTGATTCAACATCATTTTATTTACATGTGTTTTCTTGCATATAGAAATGTGCTGAATAGCATGGTGGTAGAGGGAGAAAAATTTGTTATAGTAAATTTCAAATGAAGATCTCACATATAAGTAGAGAGCAAAATTGCAACGGTTTGGTAACATATTTTTGTATGAAAAATCCAAAAAGAGAATTTTTGAAGCTTAGCCTGGTTAAAAAAATTTTCATCAACTTCAGTCCTAGTTCTTCTTTGGCATTGGAGAAAAGGTCAATATATCACAAAAGATTTGTGTTGAAGCTCCTATGATTGTAGCGAAATGAGCCCAAAGTGATTGTTGTAGATGATATTATACGACGGACATGAAATCTCTTTATTTAATATGTAATGGAGGCTGCCTAAATTTCTACGTCCAAGCACAAAGCAAGCTATTTCTAGTCTTCTCCTATAGGTCATAGAAATCTACCACTCCTAGTATAATCTACTAGATGGTAGAAGCTTTGCTTGAAAACAAATCAAATCTCACTTGGGTCTTGGAGGTGATTCAAAAGCTATCACCTGCAACTATGATTTATACACTCCCTTACAAAACATGATTACTAGGTGAACATAGTACAAGCAATCAAATATAATAAAATTCTGAAAGATTGGAGTAAGATAGTTTTCACAAAAATCCAAAAATAGATTTTGAATTGATGACAGACAACTTAAAAGCTTTTTCCAAATTGTCTCCAAAATATCTCATAAGCTAACTTTTTCTTAAAATTTATATTGTTTGATTTTATTATAAAGCTCCCAGTTATGTACAGCCATTGACAAGGTAAAAGATGTGCTCAACTAGCATATAGATGTTATAATTTATATAATTAATCATTAGTAGCCATTACACACAAGAAATCATTCAAATTCAGTAAGTTTTGAATAGATTGTATGCTCCAATACACAACATACTATTCAATCATTATACCGCACATTTACATCATATGATACAATCTATACATGTCAATATTTTGATTGAGTGCATTAGAGTAACTATATCGGATTGTCTATTTATCATTCCTATTGGATGATAGTGCTATATGATCTATATTTTGTAAGAGGATCCATATAATACAGTACGATTAAATTGTGCTTGCAATCTATTGAAATAGATTCTACATCTCTTGATAAATTTTAATAGCCAAATTATCATATCTAATGATAATACAAAATAAGTTTGTCAATTTATGTTGCATAAATATTATTATTAAATATTTATGTATAATTAAAATATTTTAACATATTTTGTTTCTTTATCTCTATTTTACATGATTTATAAATATGACCTTCAAAAAAAATAGAAGAAAGAGCTCAATATTTATGTTTAAGGCTATATATGAACTGAGCATTCAATATGGTACTTTTGGCTTGGCTCAATAGGAGTTCTTTCATTCTCATTTGTTTAGCTAATTGAATAAGTTTAAACACTTTTATAAATACTCAATTATTAATGAATAAGCTTGAATAACTTGTTAATCGATTCATTTCTTATCATAAATAATATCTTATAAAACTAATGAAAAAGCTCGTTAAAAAGCTCAATCAAGGCTCGATTGTAAACAATATATTTACAAATTTTGTTTATTATTATTATGTTTTGCTTAACAAACTCAATTTGATAAGGCTAATTTAGTTTTCTAAGCAAATTGGCTCATATAATGCTTGATTGAGGCTCATTTATTTTTTTAAACGAGATGTTCGTTTTAAGCTTGATAATTATAACTAAAGCTCAAGTCGAGCTCAAACTAACTTAATCTTAAATGAGCTAACATATAAGACAATCCTAAAATCTCAAATTAAGTTCAAGTTGAGCTCGAACAAAAAATACAGTTGAGCTTGAACAAACTCCTACTTAGCTTATTTTAATTCATTTATAGCTCTACTTAGGTAAGGACATAGCACTTTGTACTTTAATTTTCTTAATAGATTTTTTTTTTGGCTGCAGCTCTACGCTGACACGTCTGCAATTGACTAGATCCCTAACTTAATCTAACCCACAATATCATCATTATCATGATTGTTATTGTATGAACAACATAACTTGTAGGAACATTTAACAAATCATATTAGATGACACATCATTCTTGATTTGCTATCATCGAATTAATAATAAAGTGCACATAAGTCACATAAGCCATGTGGTTAATATATTCATGTTAATTAGATAAAAATATGCAGTCCAATCAGATGCCCTTGTCTCAAAGAACTAGGTTTGGAAGTCCAGAGATATATTGGGTCTCCAAAATATGGCACCTAAAAAATGATATGGAGTGATAATTTGAGGCATGGCAAGGACCACCTAAAGAGGTTGTGAACCAAGCGTCCCCTTTTAAATTTAAATTCTAGTGTATGAAAACTTTGGAGGTTGATCACGCTTCTTTTAGTGAAAAAAACTTAAAAGTTATATCTCCATGAAGATAAAAAACGTGACAACATATTCGAACATAAACAAATGATTTTAATGTTGTATTTATAGTTTTTGTTTAATTAGGGATAATTTAGTCTTTTGTCTTTATTTACATGTATGTTCTTGTCCTCCTCTATAAAAAGAACTTAAGGGTTTATGAGTGAATGATGAGAAGTGTTGAGTTGTAACCCAAATGGTCTTTTATTTCTGCTGATCCAGTGCTAGTGAAATATTCCTCTCCGTGGACGTAGGTTGAATTAAATCAACGACGAACAATATAAACCTTTTGTATTGTTATTGTGTGAATTTCCTGGGCTTCAACATTATTTTTGCATAACAATTAATATCGGAGCTTCTGGTTCGTGATTCGGGTTTGTGGTTCGATGTTGACGGTAGCAGATCCGACGTGTGTTGCTAGAGTTTTTCGTAGCACGTGTGCGACAGGCAGAACAGTCAGCAGCGTTTCGAGCAAGGTCCGTCGAGCTCCGGCGGCGGGTCCGACAGTCTGGCGTCAGCTCCAGTGCGGTCTAGTGCAATATCGCGTGGAAGAGGCGCTGTCCGGGGGGAAAAAATATTACATCAGTACTACGCACGTAGAAGTAACGTGCGTAGCCAATGAAATCACGCCAGCCCCGCCCGCCAAGGAGAAAAAAATGGTGCAGTAACACGGGGAATATTCCCCCTGTGTTATTTATGTGTTATTGCGTGTCATTCACGTGTTATTGTGTGATATTCATGTGTTATTGATGTGTTATTGTGTTATTATAACACCAAGAATATTCTCAGGACACAATAACATATGAATAACACACAATAACACCTGAATAACACGGAGAATATTCCTGACGGAGAAAAAAGCGACGCAGTAACACGGGGGAATATTCTCCCTCGTGTTATTCATGTGTTATTGTGTGTTATTCATGTGCTATTCATGTGTTATTGTGTTATTATAACACCAGAAATATTCCTAGAACACAATAACACATGAACAACACACAATAACACATGAATAACACG